ACCATCGACCACGTGTGCGCCACAAGGCACCTCTTCCGACTGCGCCACACACGTCACAATCATAAATATAGAGCAGTGAACAATAATTTTATAGATTCAAGTGTTTTTTTTCTTATTAGACGACTTACATGAGAGAGCTGCACAACAGCAAGTGCCCATCTTGTCGCATCGTTTTCGACCATTCCAAGCACACTTCTCGGAGTTCAGCAGAATCATTTTCTTTACAAAACACCACATTTCCTGCAGATTCGAGATGATTCTGAAAGATACTTTTACTCTTGACTGTTCAAATAGGCAACGCTCAAAGACAATAACCGAATAATCTGATAACATGATGACATGTGTTAAGCCTTTTAAGAGGTCTGGTACAGCATGTATACAGTAGTAAAAGCTGCTATTTCGTTCTTGCAAGCTGCTCCTTAGCAAGGTGCCTCTGAGCCCAACCAATTCCTTACAGGGGGGATACCCCTGCTTATAGAGGAATCGACGCGATTTGTTAGATTACCGTATGTTGAGTGACAAAATCTCCCGACACTGTGTGACCAGAGTCAAGCCCTTGTGACTGGTAGAATGAACCACACCTTTACTCTTGACTATGACAGACTTTGCTCAAGGTAAAGGTATGATTCATTCTACTAGCCACAAGCGCTCGACTGTGGTCATTGCAATGTCGGGGAATTTTGTCACTCGCCATGCTAAAATATAATAGTTCGGCGTCGATTCCTTTATAAGTAGGCGTATTACCCCGTGTAAGGGATTGGCTGAGCCGAAAGGCATTGTGCTTGTAAGGAGCCTGCAAAGGCAAAAAGGCAAATGTCTAGTGCTGGATAAATGCCGTAGAAAACCTTATAAAAGGCCCAAAACATATTATCATGTTATCAAATTACCAGGCAGTTCTGGAAAAACAAACCCTACTACAGATGATAAGGCTATAACAAGTAATCGCTACTAGCCGAGGTCAAATAAGGGACAGAGTAACAATCAACGATTGAGGTGATCTGATCTTTAATCGTGAAGCGCCCTCTGATTACAGCTGATATCAAAGCCAGCCGTAGTTGGAGATCACAAGCATTGCCTGTTCTAGAAAGCGCAGTGTCTATCAAGGCATATTCCAAATTTGACGAAAACGCCTGAGATCGTCAACTATTCGAATAAAAGTCCCTGGGTCGCACAGACGCATACCTGCTGTAACAAAATGAGTCCATTATTCCCTTTTTTGACTTATTTGCGGAATCGAGTATTTCTTACATCTGATTCATTTTGTTGCATTCGATCGCCACAGAAGTCTTCGAATAATTCTTGCCTTGTTTCAGTTGCTGCTTGAGAATTTCTTTTGAGTGGATATCATAAAATACTAGTCGAGACGACTGTCTTTCCAATTCTGAAGGTAGCTAAGCTACGACTCTCCCTAGGGCGTTCGCTGATTGATTGCAAGAAAGTGTTGAGAGAGAGGATCGTACCAGCGCGTTGCTTATCACTCGCTTCCTCACGATACAGTGCATCACTAAGTGCTGTGTTACCCTGCTCCTCATCAATAATTAAGCAAATCAGTTGAATCAAAAGCATGAAGTTGTTGATTCTAGGAATTAGTCGAAAATGAACTGTAAGAATTTCAAACAAACCGGATCGACGACCACATTTCCCGTAAGGATCATTCCAAATTTGCCGTGACCCCACTTGTCATATAGATTTATGATCGATCGTGATGGTATGCCGCGTTTTGTCAGATCTTTTGGATCCCATGAACTTATTCGTTCCGTAAGAGCTGCCTAGAAATTATCAATCACCACTTATAGGAAGTAACGAACAAACCGAAAATTCCTGAAATTATACGAAAGGGACCGGAAAAATCGGTAGGTTGCCGCAGAAATGATCTTAAGCGATGGGAAACTCACACCAAAACAACTATATAGAAGTGAATCATACGTTTTTGTTGATTAAGCCAATAGCACGGAGTTGTTAAAATGATGAAATGCGGCTAACGTTTCCACCGTCTTCGTCTTCTCCAAGTTAACGATACGAACCGAACAAAGCAATTATTATCTACTTCATAGATACTTTTCCGTTATCGTAAATCATTTTCAACCCTTCGAAGATACGGCCTTTCCGCCTTTTTTCGGATTTCAAATAGTCATTTTATAATTCAAATCTGGATGAATCCATTAATGTGCCTGTTTCCTGAAAAACCTTTTTTCAAGTGAGCTGTAGCAATAAACATCAAATCACATTTCACACTCGACACGCATTTTTTTGCTCACTCTAAGTTTCTGGACTGTCTTTTGAGAGACTTTCAGTTAATATTTAACAGCATAAATTTTGGTCTCTTTAGAGTCAAGTTGGTTCTTTGAGAACGTCTTCATCGAGCGCTAAAGGAGCGAAAAGAAGATTGCGTTTAGCACTTTCTGGCTTAGGCTGCTTAGGCTTTGGCTTAGTAGCGAAATTATTTCGCAACAGAGCCGAACATGAAAGCACAAGCCTATTAAACAATAGAATAAAGTTTCTTCTACAATTCTCATTCTGAAAATACACAAAGTTACAACGGAACGGAGCAGAAATTCTTGAATAGATAAGGAACACGCGCACTGAAGTGCGCTGAACGTGAAATTCATTTTTATTTCAGCTGCTCCTACGTACTAAGAAGTCATTTTCAGGAAAGAAGCAGCACAGCATCAAAATCTTCAAGATTCAAGCCATTGAAAGAATGCTGGAAGTCTGAGCGAAGACCGGTTCCTTCTGGTTATAAGGGAACAAATGAAAAACGAACCTCATTCGCTGGAGAAGAACTTTTCATAAGAGTGTTGGTAACCAATCGAAAGCTAATCTTCAAGCTCTAGCCCCACGTCGTCGGTTTTGGACAAAGCATTTTTTGACGCTGTTTTACAAGGAGATTTCTTGCGTTGCAGACGTGCATAACTCTCTCCGGACAGAGCTTTTTCTTCGAACCATTAGTAACAATTCGATAACGTAATCCTTTCCAACGCTGTGCTTATTTTCCGCAAAGACCGTTTCCCTGCAGTGCAACAGGAAAATAAGATTGATTCACATACGCGATAAGGTATTTTTGGACTACTGCATGGGGTGGTGGGGGCGGGGCAAGGGCGCATGTGGTCGTTTTTACACGACCATCGATGGATTCGCGCTTTGGCTGGTGGCATATCCTCCTGCTGCACAACGGTCTTTCCAGAAAATAAGCACAGCGTTGAAATCAGCAAACATTACGCTATCGAGTGTTCACTAACAGTCTAAAAAACAGCTCTATCCGGCGAAGTGTGAAGCACAAATCTTTTCTTTCTCATAGAGCGCTATCAAAAGAGCCTTTCTATGAACTGAACGTATTTTGAGTTCTTCTAAACTTGTATTCGAAAGAGTCGAAAGATGCCTGGTAATCAATATTGAGCCACGCATGTCAGTGGTCATCAATAGGGCTGACTCATAGAGCCCGATACACGTGTTTCGATCTTGCGATCTCGTCAGTCGGGCAGTTACCCTTTCTCGTCTTTTGCTAATCTCTGTGGGTGCTCTAGTCCCCATATTAAGAGTTAGTGACGACGAACGTTTTTCACTCTATGTCCAGTGAAATTATCAACGAACATAGAGTGTTGTAAACTCGATTGCTCGTGGCTAGTATATTCTATATATCATGACTTATAACACCCACACAGGATTGGCAAAAGACGAGAAAGGGTAACTGCCCGACTGACGAGATCGCAAGATCGAAACACATGTATCGGGCCCTATAAGTTAGCCCTCTTTGACAGACCACTGACATGCGTGGCTCAAAAATGATTACCAGGCATATTGAAATTTGAGCTGAACTCGAAACGAGAGAGTCGAAAGAGTGCTAGCATTCTAAAGAAGGAGTTTTCGCCAGCAAAATATAAGCGTGATAGGAAAAAAACACGTGGTTTTTTGGAACATAATCTTATTCTAAACTTTACAGCATCATAAAAGTGTGTTTTGAAAAACCAAATCGGCCGTCCGGGACTCTAGCGAGAAATCTAAGCTTCCGAATGATTATTAACACTCCTAAGAGTACTTTCTGCAGCGTATAAGGTCAGTGTTTCACTTGGCCTCTCATAACCAGAAAGAACCGGAAAAGTTTTGCCTAGTGAAAAACTCGTCGAAACCGCTGAGCGTTAAACTCAATTTTTTTGGCTCCTGCAGTGCTCTGACAAGGCCCCCTTCAAAAACTAAGTAAAATATTAGAACCACGAAGATCTATGCGATCAAATGATTACTGAAAGTCTAGGAAGAAAAAAAGCTTTGCCTCAAAGGGCTGAAAAATAGATCGCGATAACGGAATTGTATCATTTCGTGCTACTGGCTTAATCCACAAAGAATATAAGTGATTCTTAAAGTCGAGATCAGAGAAAGTTCAATTTTTAAAGCAAGGAAATGAAGTGAAAGAGAAAGGATGAAAAGAAAGAAAGAAAGAAAGCAAGCAAGAAGGAAGGAAGGAAGGAAGGAGAGAGAAGACAAACGAACCTTAAGGAATCGATTCTGTGCTATGCGACCGTTACGGAATTTGATTTCTTGTCCAAGCACCGTTATATCGCATTTTTCCGCCGGGATACGAGAATGTACTGACCTTATGGGCATCCTTAGAGAATTTGTCATGATGAGTTTGGGGAAAACGGGGCGGGAACCGCTTCATTTTCTTCGCCAAAACTCCAAAGGTCAAATATCGACGCCAAATTTGCACTAATCGCTCTGTCAGTCGAAATGACAAGGCGCAAATAAGCGATCTGTTCACACATCAAGGGGTAAAGGAGAAGGAGTCGACAGATTTCCGAGGAATGTGTTATGCATTCGATTCCATTCGTAGCATCCGACAGTGCATCAATAAGTACACGCCTGGCCTATGCATTACTAACAAGGAGGGCGCCTGCCTACGTCGAAGGCAGTGCTTTCATCTTCTTGCCAAAGAAACCCTGCGATGATTTTCCGACTCGTGGAGGCTTAGTGGGCTTTTATTTGCCCAGGGCAAAAGCGCAAAAATCCGACCCAAACCGGTGATCGAAACCGGGACCTCTCGCACCCAAAGCGAGAATTATATTACTAAAGCACTTCGTCGAGGACAGCCTGTCGCAAATACCCTTGAAACAGTCAGCGATATCTTGAACGCGTAATTTTATATAATGTAGAGGTCTCTGCCGAACGGCTTGCTAAATAACGAAGACAAAAATTTGGGCCAAGCCGGTGATCGAAACCGGGACCTCTCGCACCCAAAGCGAGAATCATACCACTAGACCACTTGGCCGCGATGAACGATCTAAATCATCGTCGAAAGAGTCGGGTTTTATCTTTTACGCGGAAGTAGACCACACGCGTTGCTATGCGATAGCAAAGAGGTGCTGAAGAAAATATCATTACACTATCATACCATTCGTTTCGAGTGCTTTCTTATGACCAGGCTAAAATCAATCAATATGCCTGGAGAATATTTGTGAGCCATGAATGTCGTCTGTTATGAGCATGTACACAGTGCAATGTACGTTTTTCGGCCTTGCAGCCTCGTCAGTTGCACAGTGCTTTTGGGAACAGCATACGTAATATTTACACGCGTTATTGAGTGATAAAAGTCACCAGACGGGCATTGATTTTTGAGAAAACACTCGAAACAAATGGCCCGTATTCCAAATATCACTTCACGGCTCGTGTAAAGATTTCGTCTGCGATTCCTCTATGTGGGAAGTTCTTCCCCCCCCCCCCCCCCCCAAGAAAGACTGGCTCAGACGGAAGGCACTGTGCAACCGACGACTAGGTCGGAAGGCCGAAACACGTGCATTGCACTATAGACGTGCGCATGACAGACCACATGCATGGCTCAAAAACAATTATGAGGCATATCGTTGCACTTTCGTTCGACATCAGCATGAATTATCAACAATAGACTCGATGCAGAGATGGACCGGTGCTTGGATGGGTTGTTTTTTTCAGTATTGGGAGCACTATCATCGTGCTGTCCGTCCTCTGCTGCACTTTGTTCACTTTATTCAGCTTACAAAGACGCTGTTATAAAGAAGCTAATGCGGCCGACGCGCTGATGTCTTCGGCCTTCTTCAGAGTCGCGATAATTGGAGTCGAGAGTATTACAGCAGTTGCAGCCTTTTCTCGATGTAGGATTTCATATTCACATCGAATCGTATCCACTGGATCATCACTCGTCTTTGAGGCTGATTACGGTCCGAAATTCAACGCGTTAAGAGAACCGACCGTCCTTTACTCGATTCCACTTCATGAGACGACGAAAGGCCACATCGGAAGGATGATGGGCCATGGACAATCAGTCCGAAGCATTCCAGGTTGAAGAAGGCAACGGTGTCGATACATTAATTGAATTATGATTCAACAATAACCTCATGTAGGTTGAAAAGTCTATTCTAAATAGAGTTCAATAGTGCTCTAATAGCATGACGCTCCAGTGGCTGTCTTGAATATTCATTCCGTAGATCGGTATTCTATCGATGCTACTCAATGAGGTGACGTTTCATAGGCATTGAACGCCACAGCCAGGCTGTTTTCGAGATTGCAAGGAGACATGCTCGACCAGTATCCTACGTCATTCAAGAAGGAGGCGAATAACGAATCGAATGCTAGAAGTATAGGATCCGCACCATAAAAATTGTGATGACGGGTCATATAAATAAATAGAGATGAGGTGATGGTTCCCTGTCCTATGAGGAATCCAACAGCGCTCTGTGACATCCAAACGGTGGCCATGTGACGAATCCAGTTGCTACCGCTTCTATATAGTTATATCCGCCAGCTGATTTCTTCCTTCAAAGTGTCGTTTTTTCTTTGCTGTCATCGATCAAACTCCTCCAAGTCCAATAAGCTGTTACCGAATGAACATTCGAAGCTTTTGCTTTGACAGTGTAGGTCCAAAACTTGGAAGGAACTGAAAACGATTCCCTTGAGTATGGAGAGAGTTTCGACGGCGCCAGTTGGAAATGAAGTAATATTCGAAGTTTGTCGCTATGAGAGCGAAAGAAGTTCACGAAGAAGTCAAATACGAAGAGCAGTGATCATCGTGACTCGATTGCCGTCACACTTCATTGCCTCCTATTCTATTGCTATTCCTAACTTCTGAACTTCCTTCTGAGTTTTAACCCTTTAAGACCGAACCGTGTAACGTCAAACCCCATTCAGCTGGTCTAATAGCGGCATTTTGTCTCGTGGGAAAGCAGGCAGACAGCCAGACTTGCAGACGCCGCTCACTTGGACTGCCGCGCTAGCGACGGCGTGAAGCTGCCTGCTTATCAGCTCAAAGGGTTAACAGGTAAACCACTCAATCGTTCAGCATTCGTGATTTCTCCTCCAGTCCCTTAGTAACTTGCATGTAATTCACTTACCACCGACTTTTTGTGGATCTATGACGGCTCACGAGCATTCTTTCTAGTCTAGCATTTTTATAGCAGTTCTGAGACTTTATAACTATATATCAATGATGTTGAGTGGTACGCAGAACCTCGAACCTCAGGCGGGATTTGACCCCGCGTCTCCCCTTCCGGGAGCGCGTGCTAACCACTGCACCACCCGGGCTCTTGTTCTGCTATCACTCAAAATGAATAATAATGGCTGATGATGGATTGATAAACTCAAACAAAACATGGACGTCCGCCGGTGGTGTCCTCCGCAGACAAGTCACCGTCTGCCGCGGGCACAAGGACAGCACCGACATGGCGCTAAGGCTCATCTGGGAGTGGCGACTAAAAGGCGCGGAATTCAAATTTACAACTACCGCAATACCGCGAAATTTAAATTTACAATTTCGTTCCGATTGCCGGTTGTTTTTTCTCTACTTGGTTCTTATGCCTGACCTGGAATGAGTGTTTTCTTTACTAAGCTTTCCTTTACTTAGTTATTTTTTTGTTTTTTATAATATTACATATTTATTATTTATGTCTGTTTGCTTATGTTTTTCATAGTTCATATTTAGGTTGTCTAGTTTTTATTTTGTATTTAATGCTCGTTGAACCAATATACTCGGCAGTCTTTAGGGCAATTTCTTATTACTGTGAAATCAGTGATCATTTTGACTCAGCATTTTTCCGGTTCGCTTATGGGCCATAATCCAGGCTACGGTCAGTGCCTTGGGTTTCCTCGAGAACGATGTGCACTATCAGGAACCTGATTGTTATGGTGAGTATTGCATCAATTAAGTGATCTGCCCAGCGAATGAGCAATGTGCAAAGCTTTGACGACTGGCGGAACTCGAACCCGGACGGGCTGAAATGCGGGTTCGAGTTCCGCCAGACGTCAACATTGCTTCAATTATTTTATGAAAACCACAGAAATTGCTTCGTTTCTTTTGTTTCCTTCTTTAGCCTATGGAATTGGATATCCTTTGAAGATCTAAAGACAAAATCTTTCATCGAAAGTGGTTAATTGTGTTTTGAACTTTGTAGGCTTTCGACTCGCGACTTCTCTTTGGTCAGCGAGACTCGAATCTGCACTTCTTTCTTCTGATGCGCTTTTAATGGAGTATAATCGCCTTTCTGGTCGAGCATCTTCCGAAGTAGGCACAATGGTCTTTTGTGTAAAAGATTTGATCTACTGCTTAGCACTGGTTTAGATTTTCGTTTGTCTGTCCGCAGAGGTTTTCTATCAAATTTGAGCACATATCTAGGATTCTATGGAAAGTGCTCAGTTGATCAAAAAAGAAGCAACACTTTGGCGTACGAGCTCAGTAATCGTTGTCCGCTTACAAGAAGTTGATCCTGTTGTGAGCACGCTTACATCTATATTTGTCTTTCAATTAAATTCATTGTAATGATTTGTAGGAATTTGAATGAGCTGATCAGGGGAAATTGGTGTTAAACCATTCCAAAGATGTTCTAACTCATTTCTGGAAAACATTTTAGGCCATTATCATCAGATATTCTCCAAGTGATTAGGTGTAATAAACGAAAATTCTGAGGGCAATCAGAGATTTGAACTTTCAACCTTCAACATCTTATCAAAAATGCCTCCTCCGAAGAAAAAGACCTGACTCAGCGACTGTCTTATCATATCGTGATAGAGACGTAATGTCGACATATAGGATTGACGATGATTAGGAAAATCTCGGTAGGTTGAACAGATATAAATAGAAGACTTCATCACTTGTTTTTCTGTTCGTCGATGGATGGCTTGGTGAGCCGTGAGCACGAGATCGAACCATCGCCCTCCTGTGTGATGCAGAGCACCACTTCGCCATATGCGCTGAGTCTTGACACATTCTCATACTTACTTTTTTCTTTTATTATGGCCGCGCCTTCAAGTAATATGGACTGTGACGTAAGAACCAGTTAACTTTTCGTAAAAGTATCACAGGTACATTAGAGGATAACGTAGTACCTAGTACAAACCGTAGAGAAAGATTGATTATGCTAGTGACCTGATTTTCATTACAATAGAAGTCCACTGATATGATACGAAATATCCACATTTTCATCTTCTTGCACCCAGCGATGTGACACATATTCTACTAACTGAAAAGAAGTTGGCGAACATTTGATGATAAAGCGTTCTCTGTCATTATTGATACATTGAGTCAAGCGTTCATCCATATATTATGCTAGCGGAATAGCGGAGTGGTAAGTGATTCAGACTATCAGGAAGCAAGGTAATCGTTTAACCACTTCTCCAACGTTTCCCTGCAATCGCACAGGGTCGGCATAGTTTGGCTATCTTCAAAATTTCAAGAATAGTCCGACGGCCATTGTACGACATTCTTGAAGAATACAAGATTTCAAAGCAGCACTTTAAGCTCACGAAATGTTCGGAGTTCGGAAAAAACGATGAACGCGAATCAAATGCAATAAGTTTCAAAATCCACACAGTAGATGTGACCCGACATGTAAGAGTGCAAAGTTATACATATCCATATGTACACATGCATATGTATATGCATGTATATATATATATATATACATGTGTACGTACGCATATATGCACACATGTATATGTACTCATTGTGTATCAGAACACTGGAACCTTTGCAGTGATATTACGTCTTTGAATAAATCAAAACATACTGTTAGTATTTTAAACTGGAAGTGATGTTTTTGCAGCCTGCATTTCTACCACAAGTGTATCTCACCAAGTTGATTCTATTTATTCATCATTACTTTCGACTCTTTGAAAAGGCCGTCAAAGCGAGCATTTGAATATTGTTAAAAAGAGAAGCAAATTTAGGCAGAGAAATACTTTTGATCTCCTCGAGTATGTAGCCGGATATGCCCGAATTGATGTACTACGATGGTGAGTGTTAACGTTCAGGGTTCCTCTTTCGGAGTACTAAAAATGAGATGGTATAGCCTTAGGTGCACTGTCTAACCTCCTATCGAATTCACTTGCGCCGCTGTCAGACAAGCGGATCCGCATGCCTGTGCATGCGTGTCGGGTTGTCTGCCTGCTTTTCCAGGAGGCGCGATTTCGCCATCACAGTAGCTGGGTGAGATTTGAAGTCGCACGGTGAACATCAAAATGGATTTCATAGTCCTCAAAGGGCCAAAACCTTTGTAGATACTGATAAGTTTAGTGAAAGAAATTTTGCTTTGCAAATTACGTAGCTAAGCTAACCAATGCAATTCTGTCTCTCTTTTGAGTACTACTCTTGAGGATCCTTGTGGTGCAGAGGTGAGAGTGTTTTGCGACACATACATGATGATGGCCCGATCCCATGCTCCAAAATCCACCAAACCTTCCATCCCCCCAAAGCCGCCGATTTGCTACCACATTTGTTTGGGAGGATAACAGATTTGACTCGATATATAGACAGGTCATCGCGGCTTTTCCTGAAGGCCAGATATGCATTCAATCACCTCTAACGAGGCTCAATGAAGTTGAATACATGTCACATTTCTTAGGGATCGATAAACGCTAAAAGCTTTTTCCTTCTTTTGGTTATTATTGCAGAACTGGTTGACATAGTATTGAGTTTGACTCCAGCATTAATCCAGTCGAAGCGTCTCGGCTTTCATTGAGTTTCACAATAGATAGATCACTAATTCTTCCTTATATTAGCTATAAGGCTGAACTTTTTTTCTATCAATCTACTCTTTCAGGTATGTTTTTCTCTTGAGTGATTTCGCCACCAATTTCCGTCGAATTGAATAAGGCATTGGTGAAACTTCTCCATCGCATTGCTTTCGATTTGGCCATGTCCAGTGGATTATTCCAGGTAGAATTGACCCCCAACAGCTTCATAGCTACCATAAATATTGAATGAGTATCTGTGAGGCTGAAATGACTATAGACGGTGTTTTGCTCCATTTTCATTGGTATCACTCTGGTCTCTAGATCTAATCATATGTTATGTAATGTTCTTCTTCTCGATTGTAATTATTTCGTATCTTCGCGTAAATATGGACATACTTGGACGAGATGCCACAGGACAATATAAGGAAGAATCCGCTATTTGAGCTTTTCAATACTGGACATCATCTGCTCATTAAGTCAGTACAGAATGCTCTCGATGAGTTTGGATTAACCATTTATGTTTTGTTATCTGTTCAGTCTGTTAATGATTCATAGTGATCTATGCTTCTATAGTAGTTTTCGTCTTCATAGTCGCTCCACACGCTGTTCGTGGCCTCAAAGCACTGGTCACCATCACTTTTAGCTAAACTTTTACGCTTATGACGATGTTCAGTGCTGTATAAGTGATGTGTACAATGTTCCTTAGAAGAGATACTTACCAAGTGTCCTTTTGAATCTCGATTTGCGATATATTTCTATTTTGATGAGTCAGTCACCTCTTAGCTTTTTGCATGTCACACAAATTATTTCAGAGCGAATCGGTGGACTCACTTCCTTATTAAGTTTTATAGATAAATGGCACGGGGGACCGATGATCAAGTGCCTAGTGTTTTCGGCGCGGCTCAACGCGGAGTTGATTTTGTTAGCACTCTCTGGCAACTTTGAGATTGGAAGGAGATGTGTTCAAAGTATTTTCTAGGACGTTAAAAAACGAAAAACAAATTCAGTACTAGAAGTACTGGAATCCGCATATAGAATAAAATTGTGAGACGGATCGAATAAAATTAGGTACGTGATCAGTCTCCACATGAGTCGTGCAGTTGGGAGGCTTTCGTATCTTTTGAAGGTTTTCACTATCTTCGGAAACTGAGTCTTTATGGGAGAAACATACTGCGGACAAAAAGTCCTGCATAACGCTCTACATTCCCGTTTCATTCTTCCATTCTCAAATTTTCTGTCCCAAATTATTTTCACTCGTCGTTCTTAATCAGGAATTGCAGTCTCCAGCAACGAATTCAAGGGAGACTTTTCGTCGTGGATCCTCCAATGTGTTGTATATCACGTCCAATTCGCCCCTCATCCGTTGTACATGTTGTTGTATAGTAAATGATGATACCGACTTCTTTGACAAGCAGCTAACTATGGAGAGTATCCAGGGGCGGTAATAAACGACAAAGTCGACGCCTCCGATATTTCCTAACATCTCCCTTTACGAATGACAAGTATCCATCATCTGATAGTCGTATGTGGCCTTTCTGCCTTTGGTTTCTTATGAGGTGATCACATGAAGTCTGATG